CCCCCAGCTCACACTCTCGCTCCCCCTCTCTTAAATAAATAAATAAATCTTAAAAAAAAAAAAGACTCACTGAAAAAACTATTAGAACTGATAAATGAATTCAGTAAAGTTGCAGGATACAAAATCAACATACAGAAATCTGCTGCATTCTACACATTAATAACGAAGTAGCAGAAAGAGAAATTAAGACAATTCCATTTATAATTGCACCAAAAAGAATAAAATACCTAGGAATAAACTTCACCAAGAAGTGAAAGACCTGTACTCTAAAAACTATAAAACATGACACACACAAATGGAAAGATATCCCATGCTGATGGATTGGAAGAATCAACATTGTTAAAATGTCCATACTACCCAAAGCAATCTGCAGATTTAACGCAATCCCTATCAAAATGTAACAGCATTCCAGCTGATCCTAAGGGTTAACTTGCTTCAAGTTGACACACTCCTCACTTGCTGACCTAAGACCCTTGATTTGTGACAGAACTAATTTACTTTCTTTGAGATTTGCAAACCACTGGCTTTGAGGAGTGAAGGACCAGAACTTTCCCAAGACACAGAAGCCAAAAATTCTGTTTGAAGCCAACGCAGCTTTCTGATTAGCCTAAAAATTTTTTAGCAAAATGTTTTTTTCTTTTTTTAGGTCACACAAATGATTTTACTGACCTCCCTTTGTGTATCTGTAAACCTGGCCCTCCTCTGCGAAGGAACAGAGTACTCCTACACATGATAAAACAAGAACCAGACCCCATCACACAGTCCCCAAACACTGAGATAACTTTTAGAGCTGGCATCATCAAGTCTTCATGTAATCAAGAAATGTTGCAGGTCACTGCATTCCCTTTGCTGATTAACCACTCTAAATCCCTTTAAAAACCCCTGGGCCAGGCAGAAACCTTGGCATTAGCTTTTGGACAAGAGTCTGTTTTCTCCTCAGGTTGCCAGCCTTCTGAATAAAGTTCAAATTCCTTTGCAATCAAAATTTGTCTCTTCAGTAATGGCCTTTCAAGCAGCCAAACTTGGATACGGTAACAAAAATACCAATGGTGTTTTCCACAGAACTAGAACAAATAATACTACAATTTGCATAAAACCACAAAACACCTGGAACAATCAAAGCAAGCTTGAGAAAGAACAAAGCTGGAGGTATCACAATCCCAGATTTCAAGATATAATATAAAGCTGTAATAATCAGAACAATATAAAAAATAGACACACGGATCAATGGAACAGAATACCCATGCTTACATGGTCAATTAACATATAATAAAGGAGGCAAGAATATACAATGAGGAAGACAGGCTCTTCACTAAATGGTGCTGGGGAAACTGGACAGCTACATGCCAAAGAGTGAAACTGCACCACTGGCTCACACCATACACAAAAGTAAACTCAAAATGGATTAAAGATCTGAAACCATAAAACTCCTAAAAGAAAACATAGGCAGTAATTTCTTGGACACTGACCTTAGCAATATCTTTCTAGATAGGTCTTCTCAGGCAAACAAAAGCAAAAATAAACCATTGCGACTATATCAAAATAAAAGGCTTTTGCATGGTGAAGGAAACCATCAACAAAACAAAATGGCAACCTAGTGAATGAGAGAAGATATTTGCAAATGATATATCCAATAAGGGGTTAATATCCAAAACATATAAAGAACTTATACAAGTCAACACCAATATAATAATAATCATCATCATCCAATTAAAAATGGGCAGAGGATCTGAAGAGACATTTTTCCAAGGACAACTTACAGATGGCGAACAGACACATGAAAAGATGCTCAACATCACTCATCATCAGGGAAATGAAAATAAAAACCACAATGAGATGTTATCTCACACATGTCAGAATGGTTAAAATTAACACAAGAAATAACAAGCGTTGGTGAGGATGTGGAGAAAAAGGAACTCTCATGCAGTATCAGTGGGAAGGTAAATTGGTACAGCCACTGTGGAAAACAGTATGGCAGTTCCTCAAAAAAGTTAAAAATAAAAATAGCACATTATCCAGTAACTCCACTACTGGGTATTTACCCAGAGAAAATGAAAACACTAATTTGAAAAGATATATGCACCCCTATGTTAATTGCAACATTATTTACAATAGCCAAGATATGGAAGCAACCCAAGTGTCCATAGATAGACGAGTGGATAAAGAAGACGTCACACACATGCATGTGTGTGCATGCGTGCGCACACACACACACATGATCAAATATTACTTGGCCATAAAAAAGAGTGAGATCTTGCCATTTGTAACAACATAGATGGATATAAAGGACATTATACCAAATGAAATATACTGAGAAAGACAAATACAGTATGATTTCACTTATATGTGGAAATCTAAAAACAAACAAACAAACAAACAAAACAGACTCTTACAGAGAACAAACTGGTGGTTGCCAGAGGGGAGGCTTGTGGGAGAGATGAGTGAAATATATAAAGGGGATTAAGAGGTACAAACTTTCCGTTATAAAATAAGTAAGTCACTGAGATAAAAAGTACAGCATAGGGAATATAGTGAATAATATTGTAATAATGTTGTATAGTAACAGATGATAACTACACTTATTGTGGTGAGCATTGAGTAATGTATAGAATTGTTGAACCTACATGTTCTACACCTGAAACTAATATAAGATCGTATGTTAATTTTGCTTCAGTTTTTAAAAATTGGGATGTTTTCTTCCTGTTGAATTCTAAGACTTCTTTTATATTTTGGATACAAGTCCTTTATCAGATGTGTGTTTTGCAAAGATTTTCTCCTTGTATGTTCACTCTCTTTACAGTGTCTTTCACAGAGCAAAGGTCCTTAATTCTAATGAAATCCAACTTAATCTTTTCTTTAACGGATCATGCTTTTGGTGTTGTATGGAAAAATAATTGCCAAACAAAAGGTTGTCTATATTTTCTCCTGTGCCATCTTCTAGAACCTTTATAGTTTTGCATTTTACATTTAGGGACATGATCCATTTAGTTAATTTTTGTGAACGGTGTGAGGTCTGTGTGTAGATTTTTCTTTTTTTTTCTTTTTTTGCATATGGATATCCAGTTGTTCTGGCATCACTTGTTGAAAAGACTATCCTTTCTCTATTAAATTGCCTTTGCTCCTTTGTCAAAGATCACTTGACTATTTTTGTGGGTCTATTTCTGGGGTCTCTATTCTGTTCCATTGATCTATCTATTCTTTTGCCAATATATGCTCTCTTTATTACTGTAGTTTTGTGGTCAGGCAGTATCAGTCCAACTTCTTTGGATTGTGCTGGCTATTTGGGGGTCTTTTGCCTTTCTATATAAACTTTAGAATCAATTTGTTGATATCTACAAAATAACTTGCTAAAACTTTGGGATTGCATTGAAGAAGTCTATAGGTCAAGTTGGAAAGAACTGATTCCAAATGATGTCTTCCAATCCATAAACCCAGAATATTCTTCCATTTATATCTTCTCTGATTGCCTTAGAGTTTTGTAGTTTGCTACACATAGATGCTGTACATATTTTAGAGTCATTTCTAAGTATTACTTTTTGTAAATGATATTATACTTTAAATTTCAAATTTCAATTGGATTCCTGTGTATTAACCTTGTATCTTAAGATCTTGCCATAATCACCGGTTCTACATTTTAAGTACGCTCCATGCCTAGCGCAGAGCCCAGTGTGGGGCTCTCACCACCCCAAGATCAAACCTGAGACGGTATCAGGAGTTGGACACTTAACGGACAAAGCTAACCAGGCACCCCTCCACATTTTTAATACTTTAAGATTTTCTACAAAAACAATTATGCCATCCCTGAACAAATTCATTTTTTTTCCCTTCCCAATCTGTTCATTTTTTATTCACTTTTCTTACTGTATTAGCTAGGATTTCCAGTACAATGTTGAAAGGTGTGGTGAGAGGGCACATCCTTGTTAGCAGGAAAGCTTCTAGTTTCTCACCATTAAGTATGATGCTAACTGGAGGGTTTTTATAAATTTTCTTTATCAAGTTGAGTAAGTTCTATTCCTAGTTTTTTAGAGTTTTTAATCATAAATGAGTGGAGTAAGCACCTATAAATGTTGCTTTAAATCAATCTATCCTATTCATTCTCTAAGCAGGGACAGATGGGAAGCAAGCAAGGGAGGTAAGAAATACAGTTATGCAGACAACTATTCCAAACTGCCTACTGCAACCAAATCAATAGCTCTATATAGAATACGTAACAGTGGCAAGCAAAGCAAAGGAACAGCGGTACACTGGGCATAGGAGCCCCAAAACAAGGACAAATGCCTGGAACTCACTTAAAAGCATTATCAGTTGCCTTTTAGAAAAATGTCTGCCTGTATTCTGTCTTTGGCAAATAGTTAAAATTTTAAAAGGCAGATTTTATTCACACACAATAGGCATTGGCTCAGAGCCAGAGACCTATCTACTCTCAGAACTGAGCTCTGCGGTACTCTTAAAAGGACAGAAGGGGTTAATCAGTTGATACGTGCGGTGTTACAGTTTTAATTGTAACAAAACATGTTTGTCTCTTCCTCCCTTAACCTTCTGTTTTAAATCATAGCTTGGTTTAAAAACACACTACCCATATGGCCTCGAAATCCAGTTTAAAAATTCAGCTCCTCTTTCTAACTTGATAACCTTTGGCCAGACATCTCAAAAATAAGTCCCACAGCCTGAGTTGCTGTGGAATTCAAGTGCAACACAACCGTGGGGCGCTGTTTCTCCCGCACTCTTCCAGGTGCTTCCCTCCCAGAGCCGCCAGTAGGCGGAGGCTTTCCATCATGGACAGCTCCCAAGAAAGCCTACGAGACTGCGCAGACTACGGCTGGAGGAAAATGGAGGCTGCGCCGTGCGCGTGCGACAGAGTAGAGCTTTATTTAAAGCGCCGCCAGACTCCCGGCCCAAGAACCCGCCCCGACTTCAAAGTCCACGCCCAGGTCGCACTGCGCAGCCGCCTGCCTGCCTTCCCTCTCCACGCGACCTAGGGCCAGCCCCTTCGCTCCTCTCCTGCCCAACCCTTCGCCCCGCCAATCCTAGGCCCGGCATGCATCGCGCCGACCTTTTCCTTCCCAGCCGACCCCCCACCTTCGGGCGCCTCCAAATGACAAGCGGCGCGGGGCATTGTGGTCCCGAGCGTGAGAGCGAGACCGGGGGCAGGAAAAAGAAAGCAAAAGACTGGGGCGAGCCGGTAGGGCGGCCCCTGCGCACGCGCACGGGCGGCGGCGGAGGTGAAAAGGGGCGGTGCGTGGTCTACGGCGAGCGGAGTGGGGCGGGGTCGCACGGCCTTGGCGGGGAGTCCGCGAGCCGGGAGGGGAGGGGGTGGGTGAGGGAGCGGGCGGAGGAGGAAGTGTCATGGCGTCGGGCCGTGGAGCTTCTTCTCGCTGGTTCTTTACTCGGGAACAGCTGGAGAATACGCCGAGCCGCCGCTGCGGAGTGGAGGCGGATAAAGAGCTCTCATACCGCCAGCAGGCGGCCAACCTTATCCAGGACATGGGACAGCGTCTCAATGTGTATCCTTTCCTATTCTTGGCCCTCCGCCGCTCACGCCCGGTCCCCCCCTTACTATTCGCCTGGTCGCCTGGTCGCCGGGCCTGCTGCCCCGCGAACATGGCGCCGCCGCCTCGGCCTTCTCTGGGCCTCGGCTGCGCTGTAAGGGAAGGGAGACTCGGGCTCGGGAGGCCGCAAGCGGCCAATGAAAGAGGGAAGGAGAGGAGTCCGGGAATGCGGGCTGGGAAGCTGCGTTGTGTAATCTGTTTGGGGCCGCGCGTGGTGGCGGCGGGGGATGGGAGTGGCGCGTAGGCCAGAAGGGAATCCTAGGGATTATCGCTGAAAAGAGGTGGCTACTTCGACTTCTAGTCGGAGAAGGGGGTCGAGAGGTAGGAGGGTTACCGATGCTGAAAGGCGTTAAGTGTTCTCCGCAGCCTCTCCCCGCGCTCCTCGCTGGTTTGATGGCGGGTCTCGTACCTTGGGAGCTCACTGGAGGTCTTTATGTTTTTGGCGTGGTTTTGTATGGGTGTGCGCGCGCGCGTTTCAACTGTCTGATGTTGAGCTTAGTCAGTCCTAGCCATTGATAAATCCTTCCCGAGCTTGCTTAATAGCAATATTGGAGTGAAATGCTCAGCACTTATTTTTACTGTTGGCGTCGAGCCTACCACCACCTTGCAGGGTTTATTTTATATAT